GTAGCCTTATTTTTTCACAATAACTTTTCCACAAGGCGATTCTTGCATCTGTGTTTCTTGAGTATTAGAGTTTCTTTAGGATAGAGGGGGCCTCTGAAGGCCATCTGATCCCGTACCCTGCTCAGAGCCTGGCCAGTGTAGACCAGTTTTCTCAGACTGTGGGTAGTCATGTTTTGAACATCTCAAAGTATGGAGATTCCACAGCCCCTCTGGGAAACCTGTTGCAGGGTTTCACTGACCTCATGCTTAAAAATTTCTTCATAAACAATCATAATTTCTGTTGTTGCAGCTTGGGTCCCTTGTCTCTTGTCCTTTCACTGCACAACTCCCAAGAGAAGCCTGAGTTTGTCTTCTCTGCACTCTTTCACCAGGTGGCTGAGCATATGTGGCCGGGGCAGTACCACACGGCCCTGATGAGAAGTTTCTAAAACATGCTCAGGCAGCTGAAGAGGCTGAAACACACCCATAGTTGGGAGCTGCTACCCAAATAGGAAGCCCCAGTTAAGATGTGCAGAGGAAAGCTCTTCATCTTACAAGCATCACCAGCATGCAGCCTGTTCAGCATAGCCAGGGACACTGAAAAACACAAAGTTATAAAGGACTGAAATCCCCCCAAAGGGAATGAACAGAGCCTGTCTGAGCCCCTAATAGCTTAACCTTTTCAGGAGGTGGTTCTCATTCTTAAGCCTGTGAACTGGCACTGAGCTTCTAGCCTTCTATGTGGCATAAGTTCCTTCATTTGCATTCCTGTTCCCATAAAACCTGTTAGCTTTTACTTTTGCCCACTCTGTAAAGGCATTGCCCATGGAAACCAGGAAAGGTAGTACTTAGTTTCTAAATAATACTGAATTAGCTCTAGTTTTGTTTTGTAGCATCATCCTTGATATTTATTTATAGACAAATGAGAACTAGAATGAAAATTATTTTGTTTTCTTGATCACTTACAAGCCAAGACAGCATTGGGATGCTAAAGCTATAGGAACATAATTTATGCATTATACAATAAGCTGGTTTCTTGTACTTTACTTCTGAATTGAACAGCCTCACAGTTAATAGGATTACACATTATTCCAAGAACAAGAACAGGGCAGTCTTACAGAAGTGAGAGAGCCAGGAAAAGGTATGCACCACTGCCCTGCTTTTCTGTTCTTTTGTGCTCTGTCATCATGTTGTTCTGCACAAATGCAGTATTTGCAAATGTAGCCCCTCACTTGTAGTAATTTTCTTTGGTGGTGGTAGTACTGGGAAGCAAAGTCATCTGTGACATGAAAAAATAAATGGTCGATCAAAACATGTCTCTTGAGTGATTAATGTTCCCAGCCAGTCCAAGCTGGGACTTCTGTTCAGACTGATGCTTGATTTTGGACAGAGAAATTTTATCCTCAGTTTTTGTCCCTGATACACAGAGTGCCATGATCCTGCAGCTGTGTTTGTTCTGGAGCACATCTCTGGATGGAAGTGCATAGAGAGCACAGTAGAGTTGGATATCATGTCACTTGGAAGAAAAGCCTGTCATAGGTCCCTCATGTGGCTCAAGTCTCGTGCAGTTTTCCGTGAAAGTTAATCCCATAAGCAGTAGATTTATTACTTTCAGATTTTCAGTTTATACCATTTGGGTTGGGTAAGAAAAAAAACAAAACTATTAAATGTAAGGATCACTGGCAACCAGTGGCAAATGTTGCTACAGATAAAATGTGGCAGAGCCAGTTACCTATATATATAAATTCTAGGTCCTGAAGGAGAGTTGGGGGATTCCTCTGTTTTCCATCTTGGGAGTAAGCCTGTCCCTGACTACAACTTTGGGTGGAAAAGGTAGCTCAGAGTAGCCGGAGGTGTTCTTTTTGCTTTTCATGCACCACAGTTAAGAGATAAAAAGAGGGAAAAAAAAAAAAAGGAAGTCTATGTAACCAAATTAAATATTGTGAACTTTTACTCTATATAAGTCTTTTACAAGTAGGTCATGTGCTTTGGGATGGGAGAAGGGAATGCTTACATTCATTCCATGACCAGAAACTTATAATGACCCTTTTGTGGCAAAAGTGCTCCCAGAGACTCAGTCTGTTCCTAGAGAGCGATACTCAGCATTGCAGATGGCTTCCTTCATGAGTTTTGTGAGTTACTGTCAGTCTTGAGGAGTTATTACAGGAATCTTTGGTTTAGTCTGGTCAGTGCAGCTTTCTCTGACTTTTAAGTTAGATTAAAAGGTTACAATTTTGCCTGCCTTCATCAGGTTTATCATGGGCCACAGCTGATAGCTGCCTCTCATGGCCAAGATCCAGGGTGGCACTGTACCCACTTCTCCTATACTCTGGATTGTCTAGCTTCTTTGCCGGAAGTGGGCAGATGTCACTAGCAGTCCTATTTTGATCTCCTTAGCCTTCTCCCCATTTAGTTGTGTGATTGGATCATAACCCGTTACGTCATTTATGTTTAACAAAGCAGCTGGCTTCCAAATTTGTTTTCCCTGATGTCCTCAGGCTGCTGTTGTGCCTGGAGCAAAGCAGTAGAACAGAAACTTTCCTTTGCACCAGAGTCTGATGTGAGCACATTTTCTACTCTTTCAGCTCTTTCTCTCTGCTTCTTCCTGCTTTCCTAACCTGACTCCATCATTTTTGGTTCTGTCCAACAGGTTAGCAGAGGGTCTTGGGCCTGCAGGTCCTTTCATGTCCATCTTTGAGCTTTCTGGTTCTAAGTGAGTCTGAGAAAGCCTTCTTTGGTTTCCTTCATTTTTTTTGTTCCCCACTAGCAGTGCAGAGGATGCATGCCAAAGAAAAGATTCCCTGCCCCTTCCTAGTTGCCCTGGAACATTTGTCTAAACTTGCAGTTTAAAACATCGTTCTTCAGAGATCTCTCTCCCAGACTCCTTGAACATCCAGAGCATTTCCCTGGATGGCACATGAAAGCAGTAGCCACCATTTCCAGACATTCTGCTTTAAATGTAGTGCCGGCTTATTCCTCTTACAAGCCATCAAACTTTATTTATTTCAAACAGAAATGTATCTGCAGAAGTATTTAGTGTTTTCTTAATATTCTTTGTTCCAGGAACATATATTGGAACATACATTCCCAGGAGTGACATGAGTAGGTATGCATTTCCCACAGTAGGCATAAATTATTTGGCTCTATTTCTTAACATTTAGTGTTGCTATTTATGGTTCAATTTCGTGCCAGAATGAGGGAGTCACTGTTATTTTCAGACAAGTAATTGGCCCTTTGACCATATTAAGAACCAGTCATGTTTGTTACCATTATATTTTGCTTTTATATGCTCTGCATTAAACACGAGTAAACATACAGAGTAGGCACCTGCCTTAAGCTTCCCAATACACTGCAGGTCCTTCCATACAGGTTTTCTATTCACCCATTGGGGTGATGCTATTTAATTGCTTTCCATGGTAAACACCTTTTTTGATTGCTACTGATTTTACTGTCATCAAAAAATATGGTAGGCTCAAATACAGTAACAACAAGCCACAGTTAGTAATTAGCAACACAAAGCGTAATCAGTTTATGTTGTTCTTTTGCCCTTCCCATTGTCTTAATCCAGCCAGTCTTTGTTCTTGCTCCCTTGCCAAGAAGTGTGACGTGTCTTTTGGCTTTTGTGTATGGCGCAATGCAGATCTATAACACTGCACAGAAACATTTTAGAGAGTGAATATGTGTGACCATATAGAATGGCTGTCTCCAAGGTTAATGGAGCAATAGAAATGAGATGTAAATAGTTACTGAATTGAATAGGCAGAATTGAAGGATTTTTTCCAAAGTGCAGATTCAGACAGGCTGTACCTATACAGAACTTCAAACCCACAGGCTCTACGCATATTGCATAATTTAAAATGGATTTCTAAAGTTTTTATAGCTTTATATGACAAATGAGAATTGCATACTAATTTAAAGTAAAAAATTATTCTGACTTTTCAAGACAAAAGATTTCCACATTCAATAATTAGAAAAACAGAGAAAAATGAGGGCAAACTTGGAGCTGTGACAGGCATCCACACCATGTGTGCAGCTTATCTAAAAGCACATAGTTTGTCATTTCTAGTAGTGATTTGTCCTGCAAAATGGAGGAAACTCTCTTGCTCTTTTAATAACAGTTGTATCTATTTGTATGAAATTAAGTTCATTACTTTACAGAGAACGGTGAATGGAGAAGAAAATAACCTAAGTCAAATATTACCAGTGAAAAACAGTAATATTGTTTTCTTTCCTTTTTGAATAAAGAAAAAAAGGGGGAATGGGATTGTTCATTTGTTTTTATTTTAGTGTTTCCTTTATATATGGAACTGAAGTAGCCTTGTCAGCAGTCATTTTCTGTGCTATGGTAGAGGAGTTACCACAGTGTCAACCAGATTTTTAACAAAATATAAACAATTTTGCAAGTGAAATCTTCATTTGGGGAAATTTTTTTAGATAGTTACCTGTATTTGGATTCCAGGTACACTCCTCTAACTAGTAAGTTTCACCAAGTTTCAGTTATTTACCTTTGAAACACATGAGTAAAACCAATGTAGTTGGATACTCTGATGTGATTTTAGCATAACTTATGACCTTTAGACTCTTGAGTGAAATTTTCAGAGGTGCTCATTTCGAGGCATATGTTGTGTCCTGACTCAGTACTGAATGCCAGTTGTGTTTGCTGAAAGCATTATGACTGCAGTACAGAACACATTTGTAAACCCCCCTCCTCTGTCTACAATTTGAAATCACTGTGTAAGAAAGGGCTCATTGTAGATGATAAGTTGAGGGAAAATACTTTGTGAGAGTGTGCAAAAAGTATGTGCCACATAAGGAATGGAAAAGTCCCAGCTTCATTTGGTACTTAGTTGCTGGCTGGGCTTAAACCGTGACAGTCTGCTCTAAAAATGACATTGAAATGACTTTACCAAGTACCAAATATCCTCTTTTAAGAATATTCTTTCATGCTATGTTTTATCTCAGATGACTTAAAAAAATGCAGCAGCTTAAAGTGAATGGCCTTTCCTGTATGTGCTGTATTTGGACAAAATTGTGTATATTAAGGATTCCAACAGCAACTCCGAAAACTTTTCCTGGACCAGTTCTTTCTTACACCATGCTCCACGATTCACCTAAACTCATGCACGTGACATAGTTACAGCACTGAATCCATAGTGACAGCTTTAATGTGCTGTACCTTTGTTTCTCCTGTTGATTTTGCAAATGTTAAAAAAAAAGAGAAAAATCAGTCGAACTTTTGGCATACAACTGTAGCTGCTGCTCTAGCTAAATTGCTGCTAAGTGTCTAGGTGATAAAAGCTTTCTCCCACGCCTGCCACACTGAACAACACTATTATCAGGAAAATGTATGCATCTTTTTCCAGTAAGAATAAGGACTGTGATAACTTTAGCATTTAGACAAGACACTGAGCTGATGATTGTGAAATGCATTAATGGATGTGTCACTATTTTAAAAGAGCACATCTAATGGATTGTTTATACATCCATCTCATTGTACTTATTTATTTATTTTATAGGATACTTTAAACATTAAATTGCACAGATCAAGGTAGAACTCTCCTGTGACCTCCTCACGTCATGGGCCTGTGTTGAACGGAACCAATCCCAGTCCCCAGCCAGTTGTGTATGTATACCGCTGAAGGAAAATGAACATACTGAACAGCCACCACTTTTTGTACTTTCTGCCTACCACACGCCTTGTCATCTTATTAGCAGCTTTAGCAACTGCTGAGGATGTGACTAATAGCACTTTCAACCGCACTGACATGAACACGGGATCCGTGCCCTCGGTGATCTCCCACATCGACCATATTATAGTCAAGGAGGGGAGTAGTGCCTTGATTGACTGCAATGTCCAAGGTAGCCCTAGTCCACATTACAGATGGTACAATTCCAACGGCTACCTACTCAAAGAGGAGGAGAATAAAGGTAAGATCTTCATGTTCTCACTGATATAGCCTGTCCAGAGGCACTTCGGATTTCAGCAGGTTGACTAATTACCTGAATTTAATAGTCTGACTGTGGTATTTTCCTGTGTGAAACTGTGTGAAAACACAGTGGCAGCCATAAATTTGTTGTGTGCACCTTGGAAGAAAACAGTAACATTTTGTTGTTATTTAAAGCAACACAAAGCATGAAGCTGAAACATTTAACAGAACGTGTAGACAGGCTTCTTTCCCTGGAAGGTTTCGGGTTTGATCTTGTTTCCCTTTCTGTCCTCTTTTGTTCTTCTCTGGAACCAAAAAAGATTAAAAAGCTGTTTTCCAACTCAAGGGAGGATTCTCTTGACATATGACAGTAATTTGTTGATGTGAATTCAACACAGCTAACTCCCTGATACACCTGTGGTCTTTATGTGTAGTGCCATGAAGGGTGAGATGCAGGAGATGCCCTGAATGACCAACAGAAAGCTATATAGGGCAGCAGTCAGAAGGACAAGCAGTCTGAGCCTTCCTGGCTTTAGTTAAGACTCTTCAGTTGCATTTGCTGGAGACCTTAATTACACAAGCTTGTTTTCCTTAAATGGAAGGGTTAGGTTATAATCCTAGTTATAGTTCTAGGGAACATTTCATTGGAGGTGGGGGGAAGGTGTTTTGCTCATGTAATCCTTCCATACTGACTGCTTTGTTCACAGCATCATGAAATAAACTAGTTATTCATACTAAATTCAAAATAGCTTGCCTAACTAATAGCTGACCTGAGGGAGAATGCTGCTATGACAGGAGTAATGATTGACCCAGCTGGATACTCAAGAGCATAGTGTATCTGTAAAAGCTTACTGCATAATTGGTTACATTTTACATGATAGTATTTCATAATTTTCTGAGTAAAGCTAGAAATAGGAACTACTTGAGCTAGTGTTTTCAGGTGTAATCTGTGCAGTCATAGCAACATACTGTAATTAGTGCACTGGAGTGGTTTCCTAAGGCTCACTAATAGAAATTTTCCCCTTTCGTTAGGCATCTAACTTTAGGTCTTTGTATAGTCAAGTGAGAGAGGCAGGTACTAACACAAATATTTAGGTAGCTGAGCAAAAACTTTGACCAAGTCAGTAAAAATTGCATATGTAGTATTAAGACAACATCACTTGGACTTTCAACAGGGCACTTCCCCCCTTAAAAAAATGACTGCCTTCCTATAAGAAATGTTTCCTAGCTCAAGGCCTTTCCTTACTATGTATACAGTTACGTTGCATATGGCGTTGAATTGTTACCAAAACCCAGAAATGATACCTTTCCTAATCATTGTTTTCTTGTTAGGCTTATACTGTCTGCCAGGATCCACTGGCCCAGATGCAGTCATTGAGTCACAGTTCAGTGCTGTTACGTCTTTTATAACAGCTGGAGCCAGGATACATCAGCAAGGCAGCTTATCATTTAACAATTAATAAACACCCACTTTGCCAACATTTCAATTCAAAGAAATACTGAGCAGCCAATACTCTGTATTTTTTTCTTATTCTAGAGATGGAGAAAGAAGTGTTACCTATTACAGATAGAATCATAGAATCATAGAATAGTTAGGGTTGGAAAGGATCTTAAGATCATCTAGTTTCAACCCCCTGCCATGGGCAGGGACACCTCCCACTAAACCATGCCACCCAAGGTTCTGTCCGTCCTGGCCTTGAACACCACCAGGAATGGAGCATTCCCAACTTCCCTGGGCATCCCATGACATTTCCTCTATAAGAGTGTTGTCCTCTGAATTTGCCTAACTTTAGAAGATTGGGGTGATTTGTTTATGTGAAGGTCTGCTTTAGACTGAGCTTTTTATTTATTCTATATTTCTAAATTTCAGGCAAAGTGATGCAGCTGTTTTCAAGAATTACACTAGGGCAAAACCCAGTGTTTCAGATAAGTTAAAAATTGTAAGTAAGCAGATAAAAAGATGTAATTAAGAAGTGTCCACACAGGAATTGAGGCAAGGATCTTGTGGGAATACTTTCTATATAGGTTTCTATAAGCCATGCTTAATTAGAAAAACTTTCAAAATGCTAAAAGCCCGTAAGTACTCTGACATAAAGGCTTTTTTTGACTAATGAGTTTCAAAATTGCCCACAGATTCTTCCTTGAAAGAAATAATGTAAAAAAAATAATCTTTTCAAAAACCAAAGAACTATGTAAAGGATAAAATAAATGTAGAAGCAAAGTGTACACCAACATGTGACAGGAGTGCATTTACCTGCACTGCACAGAGGTTTTAGTCCTCTCATCACAGATTCTGTGTGTTTGCTTAGATGCCTTAGTAGAATCATAGAATGGTTTGGGTTGAAAGGGACCTTGAAGATCACCTAGTTCCAACACCCCTGTCACAAGCAAGATCACCTTCCACTACACCAGGTTGCTCAAAGCACCATCCAGCCTGGCCTTGAACACTGCCAGGGATGGGCATCCACAGCTTCTCTGGGCAACCTGTGCCAGTGTCTCACCACCCTCATAATGAAGAATATTTTCCTCAATGTCTAATCTAAATCTCCCCTCTTTCAGTTTAAAACTATTCCCCCTCATCCTATCACTATATGCCCTTGTAAAAAGTCCTGCTCCAGCTTTTTCTTCATCATTCAGTATGGCTAGTAAGACAGCAAAACTGAATTTCCTATTTTGTTTTAATCTACTTTCAGCACATCCTTTGGCATCTGTTTCTGCCACCAGGCTAACTCTCCAGGCTGGCATGCAGATAAAAGCAAAGCCTGACCTGCTCCCACAGGATCTGCTGTCTCCTGTGCATTTTGTAGGGGCTTCTGGAGCCATTTCCCACTTGTGCTGCATGACACAACTGTTTTTCAGGGAGCTGTGAGCAAATTTTCTGTGTGGGCACATGTAGGAACTGTGCAAAGACAGCTGGGGTCCAAAGGGGCTTGGGTGGGTTAGCGATAGCTTTTGCCACAAAGAGAGTGTGTTGCAACCCCAAGTAAAAACAATGCTCATGTTAATAGACTTAAACTGGTTAGGATTAAGGAAAACCAACTTTCTGATAGTAAAGATAGGTGCACACCTGAAGTTCCTTCCTGTGGAAGATTCCATTACTGCCTTCAGCAGATATCTGCCAGGTGCCTGCTTGGGATTGCGTTACAGAGATTGAAAACAGTTGAGCCTGCCTCTGAGCAGCCGTATTAGATGATCTTGCCATCTTACATAGGCCTGTGTCATTGTTCTAAAAGGAAATCTGTATGACATCACTCTGTGGAAAGTGTTCAGAAGGCACGGAGGCACTCCTACACTTTGTGGCTGTTTTTTTTCACCATGTGAACCCTTCTAGGGATAGGTTTACATGAATGAAAGAATTGATACCAGATTTTCCCATTGTAGTTGAATCATGTTTTTTATATCAAAGTTGTAATTTAATAAGTCATATCACACCAAATAATGCAAAAAAAAAAAAATATATACATCCTCAGGTCTAAAATGGTAGTGATAGTTGAATAAAAATGAAACTCACTCGGGGAACTGAAAATCTAATTCATTACCAATATGTAATGCCAAACACAGTAATGAGCTGAATCTTGAATCACTTTAGCAGTGATAGCAGCACTGGATTTTAGCATGTTGTTTAGTCTCAATTTAATAGCTAAATTGTTCTGCTGTGCCAGGTTCAAAGGATATGAAATGTACAACTGCATATAACGACTAAAAATACCACTTACATTTAATTGATAGAAATGACTCTTAAAAGTAAAATAAGTTCCATCGTGATGTGTAGAAGTTCACACTGGCAAAAAAGGTGTTCTCTGTCATGTCTTTTCCCTTTCCCATCCATTTTACTCCCTGGTTCCTATTTCTTCTTTTTAAAATCATCTTTCAAAATTAGATTTTGAAAACCTCAGAGAGTAGGCAGCATAGTATATGATCTCTGAAATTTTAGGGGTTTAAAGTTTACATTAACAGAATTATATGAGATACTGTAACAAAACACCAAAAAGAACCCAATTGTAAGAAAATGCATTGTCAGGGAATAAAATAAGGAGGGCTTAGTAGGTTTGTCTGCCTCACAATCCCATTGTTACTGTTTTTTAAGGAAGTGTGGCATGCGTTTGGGAGGCTCTCTGGGGTAAGTAGTTCTATCTGTGTAACTTAACTGGCCGTAAGATTGTGATAGATGTCATGCATATTAATTTTTTTCATGAGACTCTTTCAGGGCATGATCAGATTATTCACAGTTGATGTCAGGATTTTATAGTAACACATCTAGGGATAGAGAGGCCTTTGTGATGGTAAATTCTTTGTCTTCTTGTGAACATTATTTCCTTCTTCCAAAATCTGAAGCCAGTTTGACAAAGATGATGTTTAAAACTATGATGATTATGTGAACAAAATGCTTCTAATTAAGTTACTCTGTCTCCTCTCCAGCAGGAAAATGGTGGTTTCTTGACAATGGGCTACTAAACATTACCAGCGTGTCTTTTGAAGACAGAGGTAAATACACATGTGTTGCATCTAATACGTACGGCAGTGTTAACAATACTGTGACTCTGAGGGTTGTCTTCACCTCCGGAGATATGGGCATCTATTACATGATTGTCTGCCTTGTAGCTTTTACCATTGTTATGATACTGAACATTACTCGGTTATGTATGATGAGCAGTCATCTGAAGAAAACTGAGAAAGCAATCAATGAATTCTTCAGAACAGAAGGGGCAGAGAAACTCCAGAAAGCCTTTGAGATTGCAAAGCGTATCCCAATTATCACTTCAGCCAAAACACTTGAGCTTGCCAAAGTAACCCAGTTCAAGACCATGGAATTTGCTCGCTATATCGAAGAGCTTGCTCGGAGCGTACCTTTGCCACCTCTCATCATGAACTGCAGGACTATAATGGAAGAAATTATGGAGGTTGTCGGTCTGGAGGAGCAAGGACAGAATTTTGTACGGCAGACAGCAGAAGGCCAGGAAACCACTGAAACAGATGAGCTATACATGATCCCAAATGCTTTGAAGCGCAGTGACTCTCCCACAGGTGACTCCGATGCATCATCACTGCACGAGCCACCTCAACAGATTGCAATAAAAGTATCAGTTCACCCATTGTCTAAAAAGGACTGCATGGACGGTCAGTCACAAGAAAGCATGCAGCTGGACAGCAAGGAAGAGGACACTTCTCAAACACCAGCACTTCCTGCAGAACCCCTTCCTGAGCCTTCTGCTGAACTCAGTTCTGATGACACAGCATTGGCAAATGACAAAAATACATGCATTATATATGAAAGCCATGTATGATAGTTACTCCTGAATCTATGCATAGCAGGAAAATCAGGTGGAGCTCTTTTAAAAATACATATTGTAATTGCCGCTAAGCCTTACCTGGAGACTATCATAGCAAAAGCATGTATGTGGATTATTTGGCACTTTCTTCTCAGTTTGACTTTAGTTTACCATGATGTATGGCAGAGTAATTGCTATTACATTAATATTAATTGCTCTTTTTGATTAGGAGTATTTCCAAGAAACATTTACCTCAGCATTTTCTAGGTTGGAGTTCCCTATAGTGGCCTCCTGAAAGTCACTGGTAGTCTTCGATGCAGGACACTTGAACTTACTAAACATAAAACTGGTTTTCATTTTCCTCCTTGACTCTCTTATTTCCATCTACAGCATTTTTGCAGATATTATCTTGTGAATTTGAAATATTGCCCAAGAGGCAGCACTCCAGTAGCCAAATCAAATCCTAATAGGTCCCATTTAAAAAACCCGTTTGTTCAGCTGCATTGTCATTTAGAGGGCTATTAAAGAAAGTTAAAATGTTTCCATTTCATTTGAGACTGCACTGCTCAGGCACAGGGGAAATAGTTTCCCTTTTTCCATGGAATGAAGATGCCAACAATTGTGTTTTTTTCACATCAAGAAACAACTTTGAGGTATATTTTACAGATGGGAAAGTGTGTAAACATCTCACAGAAAGTTCCAATCCAACAACTCTGCATGGATTTTTTTATAATTGACCGTTTCTAACTTTGCCAGAAGTTTATATGGAAAATAGCTGCAAATATGCAAGATGTCTTTGGGTTTTGTTTGTTTGGAGTTTTTTTGGTAGTAATTTGGTAGGAGTAAGTATGCACTACCTTACCAAAAGATACGCAGGTTCCTTAACAGTCCTGCGAATGCCAGTAATCAGCTGGTAACAAGGCTGAAATGGCAGAAGACCCTTTTATTGGGATTCTCAATTTGGTGCAGATTCGTATTTTGAAGATCAAACCTAAATTCATCTATGAGTCTGACAGTGTTTTATCCAAACTAAAAAAACAAAATAATATAATTGTCCTGTGAAATTCCAATATGACGATCACACACAAACTGTTTACTACATTGTAATTGCTTTGTTATTTTACCTCCTACCTGTGTAGGATGTTCACTGCTTGAGTACATGTGTCCCTACCCCAATAAAGCTTTAATCATCACAGTGACTGGGGCATTAAAAAGGGTCAATGTTTATGCCAGGAAATGCCAGGAGTGGAAAGGAAGTGATAATTCCTATTGCAAGTAGACTATAAAGAGGACCTTCTCTGGAGTGAGTCTGGAATGAAAGCTCTTCCAAGGAGGAGTTGCGTAAGATTCATAACATATTACTTAATCACCTGGCACACTTTAATTTGGAAGTAATGAACAAACTGTCACCTTACAGTTTTTAAGAAGGACTGTAGTGTAAGTACAGCTACTCAAAACTAATCTGGAATTAAGCATATTGCGGAAGTCACTTAGGTCTCTGGGGAGATGAGGTGTGGATGGCTCTCTGGACATTTTACTGAAGTGCCCACATCTACATAAGGTGTCCATTCAAGGCAGTCAGGTATATTAACTGCACAGGTAATTGAGAGCAAACAAAGTCAATGTTGTAGCTCTCTAAAAAATTCATTGATAATGAACAGACATTTTATCTCAACTTCCTCACGTTAAACTGCAGAGCTTCACTAGCAGCATAATACAGGAACACCCCATGACTTAAGTAGGTGATGTAGAGAAGGCTCCATATGTACCTTTCTAAAGTTATTTAAAAAAAAAACAACCATGGTTAATAAGGGACTTAAGATTTTGTGACCAACTTGTGAAAATTGCGGTATTGCCTAATGTTTGCTTGTGCTCACCACAATGGCAGGCATCTATACAAAATGCATTTGCACATTCCCAAAAGGAAAAAAAGGGCAAAGTCCATTCCAGTGCCTGGAAATATTTTAGGTCCAGTAAAGTAATGTAAATCTCGAACACAGGGTAAATTAAGGGAATACCATAAAGAACCTCACTTCTGACCAGTGTGATTGAAAATACTACTGAAGCAAACTGTTAACTTCTTGTCTGCATCCAAACTATGTTTCTATTTAGTGTTTGCGTCAGTTTTTCAAGTTACTTAATTTGCTTCTGCTACGAAAAAGGCTGAGGGCAGAAACAAAAGCAGGAACTTGCACTAAATTCCTTTAATTCACCTTAAACTCCTGAATATAGGCATCTTGATTTTTCTGCCTGACCAGCATTTACAAACAATGCTCACGCATTCTGAAGTTACCTGCCTGGTGCCCAGCTAAGGTTGCACAGATGAGCAAGAATGTTTTCCTTGAAAACATAAAAATAGGTTCTAAATTACACTTAAAAAAAGAAAAAGTTTCAAAGTTATTTATTAAAATATTTTAATTTTTTTCTAATTATAAACTTCTTACAGTAGAGACCAGCCCCCTTCATGTATTCATATGGTGATTGGTACCAGGCAGTTCTGATCCAGCTGCTGCCCTCAGACTGTCCTCTATCCTGTTTATTTTTACTGAGATACATTAGAAAGCAATCAATCCCTATGGTTTTCTTCAAGATCTCTGTGTAAACTTCCTTGAAGATAAAGACTTCTTTTTTCCCCCAGAGATTGCCCATAAAATGCATGTGTTTGAAGCACACACAAATGTACATTGCAAATCACATATGAGCAACAGTGATTTGGCTTAGATGCATGTAACAGGTCCAGTGCACCAGCCAGTCTGCTATAAATTCTTCAGCTTTGTGATGTTATGGGAATAAAAGCAGAACAGCACTGTATCTGAAGAAAATCCAGACTGTAATGGGTCTGATTTAAGTATGTTTTCTGCTTTCATGTATGCTGCTCAGGATCTTTATGCATCCATTTAATTATCTTAAAGATCTCTTCTGACCCAAACGATTCTATGACTCTGTGATATAATATGTGTAAAGCCTAAAGCTTTCTACATACTTTCAGGCACTTCCTTTGTGAGAGAGAGAGATGGGAAGCAAGACACAAACCCATCTTCCCTGTTCCAAACTTTCTGTCTGTGCTATTATAAAGTAGACAATTCTGTCCTGCAGTATTTCTTAGGGAATGGCCATTTTATGGTATGAGAACACAATTAACAAATATAAAAATAATGATGGCTCTAAGAAAATACTAATATTTGCTTGTAATGTATTTCCATGCGACTTAGGTACTTCAGGGACATTACAGCTATCTGTTCCTGTCACAGACTATGCTCTATATATTATAGCACTAAACATTAATGGTTCTTACCGTACTCAATCTGGAAAATCCATTCTAACTGAATTTGCATTCTGAATGGCATTCTAAATTTGCATTCTAAAGGGCAGCTTTGGAAAGGAAAAGAGATCTGCAGATTATATTTACACCATTGTAAAATATTTTTGCCAAAGCTTCATGAAACATCACTAGATTTCTGCAGCACAAGAAAGCATTGTTAGATTTGAATTTTACACTTACTATTCTTTTTTTTTTTGCTAAATCTAAGACCACATTGATCAGACCACTTGAAGAGAGTACTATCTACTTACTCAACATTTTCTTTATGAGCAGCATTTGTTTACTGCTGATCCTTTTTTGTTCTCTGGTTTGAGTATGCTTGTGATGAAACCTGCCCTTCAGTCATTTTTTGAGATTGTCATTGAACAATTTTAAAAGAACCCATAGATCAGAATTTTAATGCAGGTTTATTGGTATTAGGGAAGGCACAGCCCTTTGTTCCTGTGCTAAAGAATTACTGTATAGCCATAAGATTTGCAGAATGGCATATATGGCAGATGTTGATTTATTTTTCTTTTTAATCAGTGCCTGGTTTATTCTAATGTACATACTATGTCAGTTCCTCGATTTGCAGTTACTTTTCGACACAAGTACTGTAACTTATAACTAGGGCTTTCTGACATTCAGTTTGGTTCAGATCAGTTAATTCGGGAAAGTGTTAACAGTGTCGAATTTTGAAATTTCTCATGGAGTTTCTTGGCAGTATGCTGTTTTAAGAGTAGGCCTCTTAAGTATGCCATACTTAGTGGGACAGCTGAAAGCTTCTTAGATGCAAAGGAAATGCTTGCACTAAAGTATCTTAAGTTATATTTCATTTATTATGAAATCCTTTTTGATTTTACGAGAAATGTAAGACAGATATGAATGTGTTCTTTTGAGAAGTGGTTACTGTATTTTGATTTAAATAACTTATGATTTTATAGTTCGCAGCCGTAAACCACAAAGAGACCAGTTCATGCTGAAGTGGCAAAATGAAATGTGATCCAGCTTGTAAATTGATTGTTGTTTCAATAAAGAATTTGCACAGAGTATGCAGAGTTTGTACATACTTAAAAAGATGATAGTTTCTTAGTAAGAGTATGCTGTTGCTCCAACTCAAATGGAAGTGAATTATGTATTCCATTGTACATCTGCTAATATTCCAGAAACTTTGATCAGGAAAAAAGAATTAATTACCTAAAAAGGAAGTTTTAATAAAGGTCTGAAAGGGAGCTGTTGTTGTTATCAGAATGCAGACTTAATTATTAATCAGTATTGTTATCAATAGCCTAAATTGTTCATGTATGTAAGCAGTCTCTCTTTGGAAACATATCAGCAGTTCTGCATGTAATCCAGAGGACTTCCTTTGTCTGCTGTTTCTTCTCTGAGCCTTGTCATGGGGCCTTGCAAAAAGTATTGCTGCTGTTTCAGAACTGGGGCCAACAAATAAGTGCCTCTTCTCCCAGAGGCACCCTAGCACCAAGACTAAATAAAATCTTGAGTGGCTATACCCACGCCCCCATTCCTTCACCCACCCTAAAAGGATGAGGTGAAATGGCTTTCCTGTACCACAGCAGTTGGACTGTATCACTCCCTAATAGTCTTCAGCAGGACTTGGTTGAAGCAGACACTGTAATACCTTGTCCTGGCTCTGCTACCCAGCTAGCAGTCAGTGGCAGTCATTGACAGAGATGGAATGGGGGACTTGCCCTTTCACACATGAAAGATTTGCTCTTGCCAGCTGCCTGTTCTAGGCTGAAGAACATATCCAACAGCAGGAAAACAATAGCTATTTTGTGTTTTAACTCTGCTGTTGAAAGAGTGCTTCAATTTTGAAAAATATTTTCAGAAGCATTTTTATTCAGCAGTCTTGTCTGAGTTACTGGTGGTGAGACAGCCACAATTTGTGGACAGATATCTACAAAAAATCGTGAAGAAGTCACAAACTCATCATAAAAATGGAATACATATGGCTAGAGACATATGCTATTTTACTGTCTCAGCATGGGACCTTGTCTTGCAGTTCGATACACTGTGATGGTTTTTTTCATCTAGAACAGCACCACCTCAGGCTGCTCCCCTCCAGCATGCTGAACTCCTGCAACAGCTTTGCTGGAGCATTTTTCAGGAAGGTAGGGTACCACCAAGCAGTTGGTCCCAATGAGCTACACTTCTGAACACTGAAACAGGCTGCTCCCAGTCTCAGTGTTTCTTATGAAGATCTTTATATCATGTGGAGGAGGCTGCCTTACATTAGTACTACAGAGGCACCCCCAAACTAAAAGCTGCTGGTGGGTAGTATCTGCACAGAGACAAACCTGTGGACAGTGGGGTCTCTGCTCTCCTACTAAGACTTGAGCCAAGGAAAGCTGGTGCGTAGCTCAGGGCTGGTAGCCCAGTTCCTTGCAGTGCTGCAACACCACTTTCCCACAGGACTGCTGGTTTTCTAACTTGCATTGTGCACTAGTTCCTGGAATAACCAGCTAAGACTTGAGAATCAGTTCCTTCTCAGCATCCATTTCTTCCATCTCTTCCTCTCCCTATCTTACCTTCCTGTGCTTTTTTCTGTCCCTGCCACTTCTGCAGTGTTACTTCTCAAGTGAGAACAGAGTGAAATTAGTGGTCAGGACAAGTGTTTCTGCACTCCAGGTACCTCTGTTCCAAACTGACCTTTCATTACGTTCCAAAATGGATTTTATTTTTCCACCAACTGTACCAGGCTCTAATGCTATGTACTATGTTTAGCTGTCTGGCTCCCAGGCCCAAACTGAGTCATACTCTTAGAGTAAAGGCTGACTTGTGAATCCATAGCATCATATATAAGTCTATAAATTCGGCAAAGACAGTAATATAAACTGAAGCTAAGTTCCCTATTCCTTATACAAAATCAGACTGCATAGCAGCAAACAGTAATTGTGGTAGACTTAGGCCGCTCAAGTTATGCAATGAAAAGCTATTCCATACCACAACGAGATGAGGCAAGGATGAGAAAAATTAACAGTCAACCTTGTATAGGATGGAGAATACATGTAAACCCCTGTTTATGGTTAAACAGAAATTTAGCATCAGTATCAAATCAGTCTGCTCTTCTGTAGCCACATTCTATTTTGAGAACAGATTCCTTTAGTATCTACTCTAAGCAGAACTTCCCTATGTAAGCAAGCACCTTAGATATGGAAATAGTACAAGAGTTATCAGAAGGAGCCTTGCCTCCCTCATCTACTATTTTTGACTATTTAGCTATGCATCAAAGGCCTGCCAAAGATCTGGCCAGCCACTCCTGTCTTAGTGTCTAGCCACAGAGTTTGGGAGCTTCCAGTTG